GTGCGAGGGGAGGCAATGGCCGCCAGGGGGGAGAAACCCGATTATTAATTTTGTTCTGCAGAGGCAGCAGAGCTAAAAGATAAACTGATACGATTTGAATTCATACTTTGTTCTGCAGACAGCTGAACCGTCCTCGCAGGGTTGTAACGGTTGTTATGGTGCGGTTGTGTGGCACAGAGCTGCGAAGGCGGAGAGAAGGCGGCCCGCATGAGAGGTGGATCATAGGCATTTCAACAATTATGACTTGGGCGTTGAGTTTGGCAAATAAGGTTTGACAGAGTACATCACTCTCTCTCTCCTTTTATTATTATTATTATTATTATTTTTTTTTTTTTTAAGGCTAATTCTTTAAGCCCGACCAAGTCAATTACCTGTCAAATCTGGACAGGACGGCCTTTCAGGCCTTTTTTTATTGTCATTATAGTATTACGGGGAACCCCGTAGCAGCCACATCCGTGCTCAAGCCTCCAACGAGGGAACATGTGGGAGCTGCACCCACCAGCAGGTGCGATACCTGCTACAGCAGGTGGGCGATACTGACCAGGGGTTAGCCGGTAGCATCAGGACCGAGCTTCTTCGATGGGCCAGTCACTTAGCCTCCCCTCCGGTCCCCTCCCCCTATGAACATCAGCAGTCTCCTCTCAATGCCACTCGGGGGGACCAACGGCAGACGTAAGTTGGAATGGTGCCTTGACTACAAGGCCTTTTTTTTCCTTTCTTTTTTTTGAAAAAACAAAAACAGAAAATTGGAGTGACAGGTTGTAAAAATCAATCACATCCAGCAGTGTAGCTCAGTTGGTAAGGATCGCAAGTGGCATTCAGGAGGTCGTGGGTTCAATCCCCAGTGGCCTCATGTACCTTCCTGGCCATGCTTTGCGCCCGCCGCCCTCCACTTAGAGATAGACCACTGGATCCCCCGATCGGCATTGAGCAGAGTCTGCTGATGTTCGTAGGGCAGGGGGGGGGCCCACCACCTGAGGGGAGGCACAGGGATTGGTCCTGTTGGCATGGTCCCTGATGCTACCGGCTGTCCCCTGGCCTGTGTCGCCCACCGGCAGGTCGGGAGCAGCCCCCGCATGTTCTCTCGTGAACACGGTTCCGGCTGCTACGGGGTTCCCTGTATGCCTACAATTAGGAGTAGTGGTAGGTAGGTAGTACGAGGTGCAATTGAGAGCAGAAGAATGTAGCTTACTTTGAAAAATACGTATATATAATAAAAAAAAAATCAATCATCTGTTTCTCTGCTTGTGTTTAGGGTCATTGCTGCCCTACCTCTGCCCATGTCTCCACTGAGTTCTATGTGACAGGGAAATCACATTCAAAGATATATGTAAGGGACGCTGGACCCGTTTTCCAGCAGGTGCTGCTCCCCACCAATAGATCGGAGCTTTAAAAAAAAAAAAAAAAAAAAACATCATCAAGACTCCTTGGGACTCTGGGAGCGGGGGTACATTGTCTCAAGAAAGACCATATTCCACAGAAAGCTAGTGACTGTACCAAAAGTAATCTGACCATAAGCCTCAAGCCTCAAGGTTTGTCTATCATAACTGAACTCTGGCACAATGCCTACCATCTTCACCCGTCAAATAGAAGGCAGGTTCATTATAGCTGGTAACTTCAATAGAGTCACAAAAAGCGGTTATAATTGCATTATGGGGCACGATACAGTTTGCAATTGCACTTCAGGCACCCTACCTGGCCAGAAAGAGGGGTTGTATACATTGCCCGAACTGCAATTGGAAACTGTATCTTGGCCCGTAGTGCAATCATAACTCATTTTTGTGACTCTCACGTAGTTTCCCCAATGTACTCATGTAGTTCGAGGATTACATCTCACAGTAACAGCAATTTCGTCAAAAAGGACATGATTTATTTTTTGAACGAAATTGAAACCTCATAAATTGGCCCGATCTAGGTGGAAATTTCAAGATCTTGAGGGTAGGACGCCGGACCCCTTGGATGTATCTGGACTTCGCTGGAGTCCAGGGGGGACGGCGTTCTGAAAACGCCGTACTCCCCGGGGCCCTGGATGTATCTGGACTTCGCTTGCATCCAGGGGGTAGGGCGTTTTCAGAACGCCGTACCCTCTGGAGCTGAAAATATCGAGCTAAATCGGGCCAATTTATGAGTTTTCAATTTCATTCAAAAAATAAAAAATGTCCTTTTTGCGTAAAAACCACATTTTCTGTACTGTGACCCCCCCGTGGTTTCCCCAAATTGAATGCCCTACTAACCTCATGCATCAGACCTTCTACGTCTACTGCAGGGGTCAGTCTGAATGAGAGCTTCCGCTCCATCTACTAGTCTACGATTGAAACACTCTTATATGATCCCATCTACTCAATGGCATTCCCTTTCGCACCTGACTTACCTACGCGGGTAAACTTTACCCGCCTTTAAGTTACTGAAAAGTTGTGAAAACTTTCAGACTTTCTCGACCGAGAGGTCAGATCGGAAGTCAGAAGTCTTTCCTCGCGGTGAAAAAAGTTACTGTACCTGTGGCAAAGGAAAAACGTTTTAGGAGGCTGGAGCGGGTCACATGCCCGGGTCCTTGGGCGGTCATGACCCTGTGACAAAGGAGAAGACTTCTTCACAATTCTTTCACAAACTCCAGTCTATATGACAGTATATTATGTAGATTACCTGTCCTGGGACTCCCGGGACTCCTGGGACTTCCTGGTCTTTTGGGGCGCTCATGACCGAGGGACCAAGGCAGCAAAGAGAAGAGCAGGGGTCAAGCCATAGCTTTGGTGCAAATGTCCGTTCCGGGTTGTCCGTGCTTGCACCTCCGTCTGCTCCGCAGAATCGCGCAGATTGCACAACCGGCGGGGCCGGCCATGGACGTAAGAAAACAAAAGAAAGAAAACAATGTATGGACGCGGCAGGTTTTGAGTTCTCGAAGGCAAAAAAAACATGAGCCCACGAAGAAAAAACAGCCACCGAGTTTGAAAATGCACTTTTGGCAGAAAAGGATCTGTTGGGGCTTTTTTTTCGGGGGGGGGGGGAGAGACTGTGGCTGTGACACACTTTTAGTTTGAAATAGGCAAGAAACGACAAAGTTACGCCAGTGTTATGGTGCGATTTCTGAAATGTGCAAGTTTACTAGTGGGGGTCTAAAACTGCGTGTCAGTCATTACCCGCAGTGACGCTTGGCAGATTTAGGGTCGCCTTTTTTGCTCCATTTTGGGAACTGCTAATTTAAACCACCAGTACCTCGCTCAGCTATTGAATCCGAGCCTCCCAGCACGCTGCGCGCCAAGTCCTGCCGAACCGCCGTCGCAATTTTGTTTTTCGTTTTGCCTGCGGCCTCCAGCCAATGCGGTCCGGCAGGCCGAAGCCCAAATGGCGCGGCGCGTATACGGGAAGCGCCGCGGCCGATAGCTGGGCCAGGTACTGGTGGTTTAAGTTGCCTATTCTGAACATAGGGTGTGACTCCGGCATACTTGCCCATTTGTTTTTCTTGCCCCTTCGGACTCCACGGTCGACCCCTGTAGTTAGGACCCCTGGCCTGACAACATGGCCGCGGTACGTTCATTGCATTTCCGAACTCCGCGGCTGTTTTCTTTGCGGGCCGTGCCACATTTTTTTTTTTCAACCATACCAGTCCAGCAAGACAAATGACCACAGCCCCAGGAAACAACAAAGAACAATTGCTGATCTACAAGATGTTTCAACGGGATGCTGGACCCGGTTTCCAGCAGGTGCAGCTCCCCACTGTAAGTTGGAGCGGCCCGATCACTGTACATAGCAACTGTAAAGAGATCCAATAGGATAGACAGGAACAAACAGTAACAATCTTACAAGTACAGAATGACAGACAAACAAATAAACAAACAAATAGACAGACAAACAGCTCAGCACAAACTACATTACAACCGATAGCTAGTACAGAGTACATAGCAACGGCATAGAGCTCGAATTCTCCCATAATCTGATTGTTTTCATAGTCAACATGGTTCACATTGTAAATTACATTGCAATAGAAAGATTAGTATAGGCTACAGGCCCACTAAGCTGTCACGACCTTATTGCTATCATAGCTGACATGGATTAAATCCAACTGTATAATTGCAATTTAAATGTACTTGATAGGGACGCTGGACCCGATTTCCAGCAGGTGATGCTCCCCACCAATAGATGGAGCCATCCCGGCACTGCTAGCGATGTCTGATCATATCAGCACCCCTAGCAGTCGCTCGGGCTGTTTCTTGCAAAAAAAAAACAAAAGAAAAAAAAAAAACTCAAAGGTGAGATCAAGGTAGCTGCCCCCCAAAAGAAAAGAAGGGCCCTCCTTCCCCTTAACGACCATTTAGTCAAAATGGACATTTTTTATTTTTTGAACGAAATTGAAACAGAGGTTTTTGGCCGAAAACTCGTCAAAATTTGCTGTTCGCGAGGGTCCAGCGTTTTACAGGAACAACAAATTTTGACGAGTTTTGGGCCAAAAGACTCGGTTTCAATTTCGTTCAAAAAATAAAAGATGTCCATTTTGATGAAATGGCAGTTCCTTGATCTCCTTCATTCCACTCCCTCTTCCACTGATAAAACGGCCCTAACAGCCATTTCGTTAAAACAGGCATTTTATATTGATTTGAATGAAATTGACATCTTCTTATTTGACCCTAATGAAATTAGAAGGCCTCTAATGAAAGGGCCCCAGTGAAATTAAAACACCCTCTGAAAATGCTGGACCCCCTTGGATGTATCTAGACTTCAGCTAAGTTCCGGCGGACTCTCAGGAGGTAACAACCTTTAGCGGATGTTTTGAAATTAATGGCATTGATAAAAGAGCCTACTCTACCAAGTAGTGCTAATTTACTCATCTTTATAATGGCTCCAGTCATTACATTTATGTTAAGTTTAGTTGCTTGGGCAGAGATACCTATTGATTATGGCATGGTACTGTCAGATTTAAATGTAGGTATACTTTACATATTTCGTCAGCAGGTTGGCCTAGTAATTCCAAATATGCTTTCCTAGGAGCACTACGATCTGCTGCTCAAATTGATTGATTGATTGCTGAGAGGGGGGTCGCGCCCCCTCCTCGCCCCTCTCCCCCCCCC